GCATGACCCTATGCCCCAAGATTAAGGCTTCTTCTTACCAGTCACTTTAAAATCAAGACTTTATTTTCCATCAAAATACAAAGAAATCTACTCGCATCACCCTGTTTCCTCCGTCAGTTGTACCTGGGCATTCCAACCTTTCCTCTGCCCTTTTTAATTCCCTAGAGTACTCACTGCCAAGAAAAAAAATGCCGTCTGGTTGATAGTTTTGTTGTTAAAACAGATCTCTCTTTTTTTCAAGGTATTAGAAAATACATCTTCAATTTTTTCTTTTAGGACTTCCTCTACCCAGAGCATCCAACAGTCCATTGATGTTGGCATGTCACTAATTTGAGTCTGTGTGTGGCAACAGCTTTCTTTCCTTCTTTTCGTTTTGAAGAATTAGGGTCTTGCTCTGTTGCCCAGGCTGGAGTACAGTGGTGCAGTCATAGTTCACTGCAGCCTGAACCTGCCCGGCTTAAGCAATCCTCCCTCCTCAGCCTCCCAAGTAGGTCAGACTGTAGGCACGTGGCACCTTACCTAAATTTTTTTTCTTTTATTTTTTGTAAAGATGGGGTCTTCCTATGTTGTCCAGAATAACCAACCACATTCTAACAGAAGGTGCTAGTATCTTGTGCCAGTAGTGCTGAATGTCATCAGGCAAATTAATCTTTCTCATCTTTACGATGATGGTAATGATACCTCTAGACGGGGTTGTTGTGAGGATTAGAAAGCATACATGTAATTGCCTGGCACATGACAGCCACAGGCATTTCAACCGAGATGTCTATCATGTACCTCAAACTTAAAACCCTACTGAAATAGGGACTGTAACTTGAAACAGTCACAGATAAAACTCTTCATGTCCCTACCATGAGCACACTCACCGGTATCTGTCCTTGGAGTTCCCAAGGGGAACCCCCCTCTGCCGCCCCCCCACTCTCCCTGCTCTCCTCCTGCGCTGGCGGAAGACCCCACTCCTTATCTTGGTTTCCAGATGCCTTCCCAGCCCCATCTTATAACTGTCCCTCACTGTAGCTTCTATGCTGTCCCAGAAGCCTCCTGGGACCTTTCCCAGCATCTGATAGAGTTCTCCTTGCCGTTCGTTGAGTCATGGCTTAAATGTCACCTGTGGAAAGGCCTTTCCTGAGCCCTCAGTCTCGTTACCCCAATTGCATCACCCCATTTTGAGTCTAGTCTTTAAATAGCGATCAGCACTCTTTCTTGTGTTTATGTCCATCTCTCCCACTAGACTTTAAGCAGGACTTTGCCTTGATTGCCACTGCCTTTCCAGCACGCAGAATTGTGCCTACGTGTGAGACACCTGTCATCTGTTTACCAGGTTAATGGATTCAGCAAATAATAACTGCTCCTATTATCAGCATTAAAATTAAGTGTCTTTGCATGAACTAAGATGTATACATATATATGTATTATTTAAGGTTACAAATGAATTTGGGGGATTTAACAGTAACCCTACTGAAATGGGGACCCTAAAATGAGGTCTTTGTTCTATTTCCTCCCATACTGGAAGACTGAAAAGGAGTTGACTGACTTACGGAGGCCGCATGTAACTATTCATGGATATAAAAGGAGTCCCTCATCCCTCTTAAATCATCTGCACCCACCCAAGTTCCACTTGATAATGCTGCAACTGCCCTGCCCGATAAACGTAACTCAAATGATTAAGTTTCTGCCCAGAACAATGTCCATTAAAAATCCTCATTCTTTCTTTTGGACGACTTGCAAAGCCTGCCCCTAGTTTTCACTCTGCGTTCTCCGCTGTTGAGGAATACAGGTCAGAGTTTAAAGGAGGAGCTGGCATTTGCACAAACAGGGGTCCCTCAGGGGCTTAGAGCCCCAGACTTATTTTCTGAAGTATTTTGCATTATGTAAAGTGCTCTGTCTCCTGGTGAGTTCTGCCTAGCAGTAGCCCCAGGCTCTCTTTTTTCTGAACATTCCCACAGACCAGGGGCTTCAAAGATCCCTATTACCTGAAGGAAGACTGTGGTTACAAATTCTCAACCTCTCTCCCTGTACAGCATGACGCCTTCCAGGGTAGATGACACAGTGGGTTGGTGAACTCTCAATTCTCTGCCAGGGACCCCACGGAGAAGGCAGTTCCAGAGGAGGGGAAGGAGAAGGTAGACAGAATCCTAAGAGTTTGCCTTACTGGTTCCTAAGCTAGTGATGGGAAACAGTGATCTTGGGAATGACTTAGAGTTAAATCCATTTTTTTTTTTTTTCACATTGGCTCCTATGATGAGTTTGGGCACACTTTACTACAGTATTATGGCATACTCTCTATCCTCTAATGCCTGGAGATGCAAAGGAAAGTGAACATACCCTAAAAAGTTCACTTTGGGTGGGAAATGCAGACACAACTGTCTGCCTGGACCCTGTGTCTGACTCAGGAATAGGTGTGCATGGCAGATGCTCCCACTTGCTTATCACAGACCTTACCCACACCTGGCTGCCACACCCCTCTTAGTGACTTTTCCCTTGGATGTCTCAAAGGCCTCTCAGACTGAACACACCCAAGGTCACACTCAAGGACCTCCTCTCCCTTCTTCCCTGCTTGTCTTCAGTGAGTGGCTTCTCAATGGAGCCGTAAGCCCAGGACTTGCTATTCATGCCTCCTCCCTCTCTCCTCCTCTCCTTATTTACACTGCACACCCAAGTGCCTTCCAAATTCATCTTTGCATCTCTGCTCTCACCATCCTGATCCTAACTACTGTCCTCCTTCACCCCCTCACTCCTCATCTCCTGATTGGTCCCTCCACACCTGCTATAGGCCCCTTCAGTTTTCCCTTCACAAATAGGACCGCGTAGCACTGGTGCTCCTCCCCTTACCCCCTACACACAGAGGTGCACACACACACACAACAGAGGTACACACACACACACACACAGCACATATGCGCAGCACTCTTATATGCTAAGATCCTTCCGTGGCTATCTGTGGCTTTTAGAATAGCACAGTCAAGGCCAAGTGCAGTGGCTCATGCCTGTAATCTCTGCACTTTGAGAGGCTGAGGCAGGAGGATTGCATGGGGCCAGGAGTTCAAGGTCTGACTGAGCAACATGGCAAAACCCCATCTCTACAAACAATCGTTTTAAAAAAATTATCTCTTTGGTGGCACACACCTGTAGTGCCAGCTTTCAGGAGGCTGAGGCAGGAGGGTGACTTCAGCCCAAGAGATCGAGGCTGCAGTGAGCTGAGACCATGCCACCACACTCCAGCCAGCCCTGTCCTGAAGAACGTTCCCTATCATTCTCAGCACTCCAGCCAAGCCACACCACCTTCCTTTTATCATACAGTAAAATCGACCATATATATATATATATATATATATATATATATATATATATATGTAGTTCTGTTACTCCTAACACATGTGTTCATCTTTTTTCTTTATACCGACCACTCCTCAAACCTTCCGGCGAATACCGTCCCCTCCACCAGCCCTGACTTGAAAAGGACCCCCCTCCCTCAAGCTCAGCTCAGATATCCCTTTCTCAGAGAAGCCTCTGGTCCCCTCGACTCAGTCAGCTACTCTTGTGTGTCTTCACTGTACCGTACACTTTTCCTGACTGCATTTGGTGTGGTGACTTTAGAGTCACTAGTGCAGCTTCATGTCCACCTTCATGGTGTCTCCAGTGCCTAGCACAGTGCTCGCCCCATAGTAGGTGCCTGGGAAGCATTTTTTTTTTTTTTTTTTTTTTTTTTTTTTTTTTGGGGCATGAGTACGAATCACCTGTGCAGGAATAACTGGCCCCTGCTTCCAGCCCCTACCCCACTGTCTGTCTTAGATGGTTTAGTGCATGTCATAGAAGGACCCTGGCTTGAAAATCAAGCAGCCTTGTACGAATTGCTCTTCCACCTCTTTTTGCTGAACTTAATATTGTCTCATTTTTTCTTTTTCAATGAAGATTATAAATCTACCTCAAAATCCAATAGTCAAGATTAAATGGAGCAAACTAGGAGAGTAGGGTCTGTCACATAATAGGAGCTCAGTGAACGGCAGCCTTTATTCCACCGATGTGGGTGCTGGGGAGACTGTTCCAGAGAAAGGGGCAAAATGGTGCTCAGGGTATTAAGTCCTTATTGAAAAATTACATAGCTGTAGACAAGTTATCATTGTACTCCGGGACCGTTTTGTCTTTCTGGCCCATTTTATTTAACACGTGGTTTTCACACCTCCTGTTTGTGCCATTGTGTCTGGCTCTGGGGGATGGGGAGAGGATGTGGCAGTTTTGTGTCCTGGAAGCCTGGTGGTGCACTGGTGAAACCGGTAAACAGATCAGAGCCAGGGTGTGAAGCACGGGCCTGCAGGTACATCCAGCTCTGTCAGTGTTGAGCCGGGACCACTAACCGCCTAGGAAGGGAGTCAAAGTTGCCAGAACAGGCGGAGAGCAGTTGCAGAGTCCTCCAGCCTGCAGCACTGCTTCCACCTCCCTGGAGCCGCACACCCAGGTCCCAGCGGGCAGAAATAGAGCTCAGCCTCTAGCACAGAGGTTGCACCCAGAGTGTTTCCTGCTTCTTTCCTTCCTACAATACGGGGAGGCATGAGGAGCATGAGGTGGGCAGGAGCCACAGATGCTAAGCCTCCTGCAGCGCAGGCAGCCCCCCTGTGAAGCAGAGTTTGAGCCTGAGCCCACAGCCCCCTGCAGCACAGGCAGTCCCCCTGTGAAGTAGGGTCTGAGCTGGACCCCACAGCCTCTTGCAGCGCAGGCAGCCCCCTTGTGAAGCAGGGTTTGAGCCCGACCCCAGAGCCTCCTGCCCGCAGAGACTCGGGCATCTCCCAGGTGCCGGCGTCTCTGCAGAAGGATCTTAGGGCATCGGCTGCCCCACCCAGCCTGTCTCCCAGCCAGCCTGATGTAGGCAGGCAGCAATGAGAGCGCAGGGTGGCAGCGCGTCTGACGTGCCAGGCAGGCTCTCCCAGGAGCGGAAACCATTGTTTGGGAATCTCGGGTGACGACTGCCTTTGTCTCCCTCTCCTTCCCTGACCCCTGCACAGGCGCGTTTCTCCTGGGAGGAATCCTCTACTCCTGGCAGTTTCCTCATTTCAACGCCCTGAGCTGGGGCCTCCGTGAAGACTACTCTCGGGGCGGCTACTGCATGATGTCGGTCACCCACCCGGGCCTGTGCCGACGCGTGGCGCTGCGCCACTGCCTGGCCCTGCTGGCGCTATCCGTGGCAGCCCCCGTCCTGGACATCACCACTTGGACCTTCCCCGTCATTGCCCTCCCCATCAATGCCTACATCTCCTACCTCGGCTTCCGCTTCTACGTGGACGCAGACCGCAGGAGCTCGCGGAGACTGTTCTTCTGCAGCCTGTGGCACCTGCCGCTGCTGCTACTGCTCATGCTCACCTGCAAGCAGCGGCGCGGGGGCGGGGACCCGGGGCCTCCTCCCAGCTGAGCGCACCGGGACGCCCACAGCTCCTTTCCCTCTGCTGCCAGGAGAGCGTGTTGTGGTAATTCTGGATCACAAGAAGAGAAATTGCTGGGTTTAGAACAAGATTATAAACGATTTTGGTGCTCAGTGATCACTTGACAATTTTTTTAAGAATAAAAGCCAAAATACTCCCGAAATAAGAAATGCATCAGCTCAGTCAGTGAATACAAAGAAGGAATATTCTTCCCTTTGAGGGTCTTTCCACATCTCTCCTCCAACCCGACCCTCCATTCTGTTTCTGCTTCCATACATGGCTTCGTCTTTTGGTTCCGTCCTTACCCCGACACCACACACGCTCCCCCTGCCCGGCAGAGTGGCACTTGGTGGCCAGACAGCGTGAGCCTCATAATCTGCTGTCGGTAGTTCTGTGAGCTCAGGTTCCTTGAGGGTCTTGTGGCACCCCCTTCCTGGTGATCGAGCCAGGGCCGGCATTTTTTGGATTTCCCCACCCCACGCATTCTCAACCCCAGTCCTTCTAACCGTAACAATAGCTGGGAGCCAGCTGCTGTGCACTGGGAATGGGGATTCCACATGCTTGCCTAAGGAGTCTCAGGGTGGACTGCCAGCCCCTGTTCTCCCTTCACCCCCATTGATGTGAGCATTTCAGAACTCCAGGGAGTCACAGGCATCTTTGTCATTCACCTTAACACACATACACTGTTGGAAGCATTTTTTTCTGAAAGGGTAGCCCTGGACTTAATACCAGCAGCATACGTCTGGCCCCCGTCCCATTACTGTACCTCTGGAGACACCACTATGGGTTACTGTACCTCTGAAGTCACTGCTGTGGGTCGCCGCTCCTCTGCTACACAGTACAGCTTTTTCAAGGCTGTAATGAGAAGGGATGTTAGGAAGGAGGGTGTGCTGGGCTAACCAGCCCACATAGCTCCCATTCATGTCCCTTGGGTGAAAAACACATGTCCATGCTGTTAGCTCCTAAATTCAGAAATTAGCCTGCACATGCCCAGTGGCTTTAAGAGCCAGAGCAGGGTTCTGGGAATTCTGTGAGTTATCCTGTGGCCAGGCATGGCCTCAGGTACCAAACACGGTTACCTGTAGCTCTTTAGTCCTTTGTACTCCCACAGGTCTGCCCAAAGGTCTTGGAGTTAGACAGGATGTTTTCATTACTCAGTCCCCCAGGGCACTGCTGGTCTGTGAGGATTCATTGGTCGGGGTGGGAGAGTAGGATTGAACAACATTTAAACAGTCAAGAGCAGGCTTCCCCAAACTATGGCCAGCCAGCCGCATGCGACCCCCTGAGGCCATTTATCCGGCCCCCGCCGCACTTCAGGAAGGGGCACCTCTTTCATTGGTGGTCAGTGAGAGGAGCACAGTGTGTGGCGGCACTGCAGCGGTCTGAGGGACAGTGAACTGGCCCCCTGTGTAAAAAGTTTGGGGACGCCTGGTCAAGAGTTCTCTCAAAAATGTCTAAAGGGATTGTAGGTAGATAACATCTGATCAGTTTCTACTGATCTGAAATATTCCCTCTTGGCTGCCCCCAGGTTATTTACTGTGGAGAACATTGCATAAGAATGTCCGGGAAAAGCCTCTACAACTTGTTACAGCCTTCAGATTTGTGAATTCATTTATTCTCTTTTCCTCTCACAATAAAACGGTATACATGAACAGGAGTGTGTGTGACATCATTAGAAGGGAGCATCCTGTGCTGAGTTCACAGTTTCTGGTAGAACTGATGACACTTGGCCTTCAGGAGCTGGCGGAGGGCTTATGGAGAGGTCTATTTTGTTTTGTTTTGTAAATTTCACAAATTGTATATATTTATCGGGCAATGAAGTGATGTTATGATTTATGAATACGATTGGAATAATGAAATAAAACTGATGAATGTATCCGTCACCTCAGATACTTATTCTTGTGGTGAGAACTTTTTTTTTTTTTTTGAGACGGAGTTTCGCTCTTGTTACCCAGGCTGGAATGCAATGGCACGGTCTCAGCTCACTGCAACCTCCGCCTCCTGGGTTCAGGCAATTCTCCTGCCTCAGCCTCCTGAGTAGCTGGGATTACAGGCACGCGCCACCATGCCCAGCTAATGTTTTTGTATTTTTACTAGAGACGGGGTTTCACCATGTTGACCAGGACGGTCTCGATCTTTTGACCTCGCGATCCACCCGCCTCAGCCTCCCAAAGTGCTGGGATTACAGGCATGAGCCACTGCGCCTGACTGAGAACTTTTTTTTTATCTTTTTGAGATGGAGTCTCGCTCTGTTGGCCAGTGGCATGGTCTCGGCTCACCGCAACCTCCGCCTCCCAGGTTCAAGCGATTCTCCTGCCTCAGCCTTCTGAGTAGCTGGGATTACAGGCACGTGCCACCACACCTGGCTGACTTGTATTTTTAGTAAAGAAGGGGTTCCACCATGTTGGTAAGGCTGGTCTCAACCTCCTGACCTCGTGATCTGCCTGCCTCAGCCTCCCAAAGTGCTGGGATTACAGGCATGAGCCACTGCTCCCGGCGGTGAGAACATTTTTAATATACTCAGTAATTCTGAAATGGTAATACATTATTATTTACTACATTCGCACAGTGCATGATGTATCTCAAAGTGAGAAGACACACTCGTCCTCATTGACTTTGCACCCTTTCACCATCACGTCCCCATTCCGTTCAAGTCCCAGCCTCTGTAACCACCATTCTGTGCTCTGCTTCAAGTTTGATTATTTTAGATTCCACATAGAAGTAAGAACATGCAAATTTATCTTTCTGTGCCTTATTAAATCAAGAACTTTCACCTTTTCACTTGAAAGAGGCACTTTCTGGCTTCTCTGACATCTCTGGATTGCCAGCATCACTACTCTTGAGCTGTGAGGCCATGATTCAGCAAAATAAAGATTACTGAGCACAAGCTCTGCTATGCCACCACAGTCGGATCTGATAACGGGGATGGCTGCTAAGTGACTCATGAGTGAGGCAGTATTTAGCATGGAGCCGCTGGACAAAGAGATAATTCAGGTCCCAAGCAGATGATGCTAGATTGCATCATGCTACTAAGTGTGGCACACAATCTAAAACTTATGAATGTTTATTTCTGTAATTTTTCATGTAATATTTTTGGTTCTTGGTTGACCATGTGTAACTGAAACAGTGGAAAGAGAAACTGCAGATAAAGGGGAACTGCTGTACATCCCTGCCTGCCTAGAGAACTGAGAGCAGTATACCTGCTTCTTGTTGGAAACCCAAGTATAATTGACCGGCTAGACAGATTACACTTTTCAGCATCTTTTGGCCGCTTATTTCCTAACAAACGGTAAATGTGAAGATGCATTCTGGAATAAAGAGGTTCTCATGTTCACTCACTAATTCCGAGTCCGTCACTCAGTGTCTGGACTCCATCATGCACAGAGCATCTGAGCGGCAGGGCATCCAGCAGCGTGTGACGGCTCTGTGCTTGCATTCCCATCATGCCTCACTCCTCACTCGTCAGCTTGCATGAGGCCACCAGCTTGAGCCCTCTGAAAATCCCATCTGAGCACTGCTCACCTCCTCTACCGCCACCAGGTCAGTTGAACCACCCATCTATCTCTCCGTGGCACATGCCTGCAAGACTCCTAATTTATTTTCTTCTTTGCCCCAGCCTTGTCTGTTTTTCACATGGCAGCAAGCATGATCCCTGTAAGCTACCAGGCAGATCCTGCCATTCCCATTCTCCGCCCTGTAGTTGCTTCCCAAATGGTCCCATGCAGTCTGGTCCTGCTCCCCTCTCTGATCTTGAAAGTACCCTCTTGGCACATCTACCATTCGGCCTACAGATCTCCACACTTTTCCTCAATACTCAAGCACACCCACTGTGGGGTATTCATATTAATAACTCCTGTTCCCTCTCTGTGGGGGTCTCATTTCGTTGAGATGACACCTCCTCTGGCCACCTTATCAAATAGCACCCCTGTGCCATCCCCAGTGCTTATTACTTCCTTGCTGTGCTTTGCTTTTTTATTTTTTATTTTTTTATAGAGTTGGAGTCTCGCCCTGTTGCCCAGGCATAATCACAGCTCACTGCAACCTCTGCCTCCCAGGTTCAAGCAATTCTCCTGCCCAAGCCTTCTGATTAGCTGTGATTATAGGTGCCACCATGCTCGGATAATTTTGTATTTTAGTACAGATGAGGTTTTGCCATGTTGGTCAGGCTGGTCTTGAACTCCTGACCACGGTTAACACTAATTCATGTTCTGTGTCTATTTACATATCGCATTATTTAATGTCTGTCCTCCCCCCTGTAATATAAGTTCCACGAAGGCACGGACTGTATCTTTGCATCGCTTTATCTCCAGTTTGTAGAACAATGCTTAGCACAGAGTAGGTGCTCAATAAATGCTTTTGCCTCAGTAAATAAAAGAATAAACCCATCTGGGTTATGTGAGGTTCCTGTGGTCAGAGGGTAACAGCCTGTTAGCCTGGAATAAAGAATGAATGGATTTGGAAAGGTATTGATGACATGTGGTTCTATGAGAAAAGAGGGCTTCCACATAGTCCTTATCTGGCTGGTGCAATCACTGCTCCCCACCCCCAACTTCAGGTCTCTGTCCCCAGGCCGCACCAACCAGAACATGCTCCACTGCCTCCAGGTCACTACCCCACAGCTTCTACTGTTTTCTGGAATTACCTTTTACCTTTTCTGTCTTCAAGCTTCCACCCCACCCTGCCACCACCATTCCTGCCATATTCATCTCCCATAGCACCTATTAATATGTGATATACGCAATTCACTTACTTGTTATTGACTACCTACCACCACCGTCATTCAGTGGCTGGACTCTGCCATGTAAGAGTTAGTTTATAGTTTACTAACTATAAACTCAGTAGGGCAGAAACATCTGTTTCTCACTGCTATGTCCACAGGCACTTAGAACAGAAGAAAACCCATGAATGACCACATGATGGATGCTCCATCAATGATCCAAGGAACAAGTACCTTTTATGGCATGGTGGGAGGTGGAGGTGGGTGGGGAGATTGGCACACACCTGCCCCTTGTGACTGAATCTGGAACAGATGCAACTTTCTGCCGGCTTTGTGAAGAAAACTGCCAGAGTTGAACCAAGGCAAGTGACTCTTTCATCCTGGTTTCACACATTCATCAGTCTTTATCTTCCGAATTGTAAATTTTCATCATTTTTGTCTTTGGGGTACCTTGACGTAAGTACTTAGTAACAGCTTTCAGCCCAGTAAATTAAGTTGTATTCTTGACCAAAATGTTGGCTTCTTAAATGCGTTAGCGGAGAGTCTAGTGTCTGTCTCCATCTTCATCCCTCATCATCTTCCACTGAAGGCATGACTTTAACTCATTCCCACCAGATAGGAGCCCAAGTAGCACATCCTGAGTCACTTACGGTGACTCATGCATCCAGGTCACCGTAAATGAGGGGAACTCTCCCAGTTTATAAATTGGGGACCTGCCTGTGAAGTAAAAGCCAAGACAGTGGGGACCCCCAGATGCAGAGACGGTCAAGAGAGCAGGTGCGCTCCATTTAGGGAACAAGGGATCCAGGGTCGTGGGAAAAGCCTCTTTCCTCACCAGCAGGCAGCCAGGGGGCGCTGCAGGCTGGGGCGCTGTGAAGCTGCTGTTGGCTGAGGGCTCCTCACTCAGCAAAGCTGGGGACAGAGCCGGGGATTCAGGAGAGGGCAGGGCAAGGACAGCACAGGGCACAGTGGGCGAGGCAAAGCAAAGTTCTTGGTTGAATCACCTCACCCCACTCCAAATGTCCAAAGAGAGGTAAGGTGACCAGGACAATCTGGAGAAACAGCCAGACACATCAAACAAGGCCCCCAGCCCTCCCCAGCTTCAACAAACACAGAAAGCAAGGAGCCAGGAACCAATATAGAGACCCAGTGAGAGGAGTGCCACCTTCCACCCACCAGTCAGCTATCCTGTGCCCACTGAGCATGAGGTTATGTGTGAGGCCTCGTGTGGGGGAGAGAGATGCACCTGGATACCCCCAGCCCCCAGGAGCTCACTCTGGAGATTTCCCAGAGAGGCAGTGCAGCCATGGGGTGGGAGTAGAAGGAGCCTTCCCCTTCCGCTGACCCCCCCGCCTCCAGCCACCACCACCCCCAACGCCCTGTTTCTAACTCAGAATCCTCCGACCTTGTCTGTGCTACTCCCAGGACCCACCACCTGACTTAGGTACCCTTTGTGCAGCCTGGCTGAGGGCTTCTCCATGATCCTGGCTCTTGTGTCCCTTGATCTGGCTCTCAGGGTCCTTCCTTCCAGGCTCCATCTCTGGCACAGGGCTGGTCTGGCCATACGCCC